AGCATGCCTTGACTTAAGCTTTGGAGAAAGAATGCTTCCACCTTAGGTGTGGATTTTCCCTGTTCTCTGCTTCTGTGGTCTGAGTTGACAGGCTATGTTTCCCTGATTAATTGGCAGTCTTGGAAACATAACCAGAGTTCTGTTTCAGTTTATGGGCACCAGAGTTTCTCGGCACTGTTAGCTTGGTTTCTATATAGAAATAATGGATTATAGTAGTTGCTAAGAGCAATCACAAACAGTACACATATCTAAGATATTATGAATATTATGTAGCTGAATCTTGGATACTGTAAACGTCATGGGAGTTTTGGTTGGTGAAGTAATGTATTCTTGATAGTAACGTAAGGTATCCTTAGTTATTCCTTGGTTAATCCAGATCTGATTTCTATTTAAGCTTGGTTTGGTTCACAACAAACATGCACTGGCACATAGACCTCTGCCTTCCCTGTGTCCTGATTTCTATCCATCAGGGTCCCCAAGCCCACCAGGCTTGGTTTGTGGTCACTGCATCATGACAGCTGGTGCCCGAACAGGGACCCCCAACATTGCACCCAGAGGAGGTTTTTAGGGTAAAGTTAGAATAACAAACTTAGAACTTCTAAATCTTTTGGCCCACTTTAATTATTTCTACATGTTTTGACTTACTGCAGTTACTATGAATAATGTTATATGTTTGTGTATATATATCTTTTAAAAAGAGGATAAAATTCTTTTCAGTTAAGTCAATAATTTAATGAATTATTTGGATAGTTATAGTGTTTGTATGTTTCCATATTTCAAATTTGTTTATGTTTCCTTAGATACTTGTTCTAAGTTTGTTATTCTAAGTTTGTTTATGTTACTTTGGATACTTCATAGTATTACACATTTGTTAGCTTGCTTTGTTGTCATGGAAATTTCAACTACTATTAAAATAGATAATGCTCCTGCTTACACTAGCAGACTATTTAGAGAGTTTCTGGAGTAAAATACATTCTAGGGTAAGCTATATTACAATGTATTTATATCAATATTAATATACGTATTAAAAAAATTAAAATGAAGGAATTATACACCAGATCATAGAAATTTAGAACTTTAGAATATAAGATTAGTTATTAAAGATTTTGTCTATTGTCTATTAT